ACAGTGCAACAAAACATTACAGTATCTAAGCAATTGTCTGAATTTTGCTGTAAGAATGTTGCTTACAATTTGAGCATTCAAGTATAAAAATCAGAGTTTTGAAAGATTTCATCTGCCACTGTAAGCCTGACAACTTCCTAAAAATCCAACATGCTTAATAAGTTTAGAGGTAACATTAAGGAATTATTATTGCTTGATGCTATATAAAAAAATGTGTCAACATTTAGAAGATATGCATAACTTACTGAACCAATATTTTCCACATGAGAAATGTATGATGTTAAAAAATCTTACATTGTTAAGAGAGATCCATTCTATGTTTGAGACAGACCAACAGATTTTAATATGACAAAGTAGAAAAAAATTCTTGGATTTTAGATTCCACATTGCAACTAACCTCTAAGAAACCTAGTATCTCTTTAAGCATGTATCCTAGGGAAAAAAAAAGGGAGCTGGCGGCTCATGCCTGTAATCCCAGCACTTTGGGAGGCTGCAGCGGGTGGATCACCTGAGGTCAGTTCGAGACTAACCTGGTCAACATGGTGAAATCCCATGTCTACTAAAAATCAGCTGGGCATGGTGGCTCATGCCTGTAATCGGAGCCACTTGGGAGGCTGAGGCTGGAGAATCACTTGAATTCAGGAGGCGGAGGTTGCAGCGAGCTGAGATCATGCCATTGTACTCCAGCCTGGGCAACAAGAGCAAAATTCCATCTCAAAAAAAAAAAAAAAAACCCGGGGCAGGGGGGCATTGCGAGGAAAAAACCTAGTAGTATCAAAGGAGAGTATCAACGATTTTATTTTTTTTATTTTATTTTATTTCTGAGATGGAGTCTCACACTCTGCTGTCCAGGCTGGAGTGCAATGGCACACAGTCTTGGCTCACTGCAACCTACACTTCTCAGGTTAAATCAATTCTCCTGCCTCAGCCTCCCAAGCAACTGAGATTACAGGCACCTGCTACCACACCCAGCTAACTTCTGTATTTTTAGTAGAGAGAGACAGGGTTTCACCATGTTGGCCAGGCTGGTCTCAAACTCCAGACCTTAGGTGATCTGCCTGCCTCAGCCTCCCAAAGTGCTGGGATTATAGATGTGAGCCACCACACCCAGCTCAACAATTATTTTTAAAAACTATCCTCCCTTTTCCAACTTCTTATACTTCCAATGAAACATCTTAACTTCGCAGACTGAATGCAAAAACAGCTATGAAAATCCAGTTGACTTCTATTAAGTCAGGAACTTAAACAGTGCAAAAATAATAGCAAAAATGCTATTCTTCCCATTATGTATTTTTTATTTCAAATAATTATTTTCATCATAAAATGTCATTTATGTTAACGTGATGAATTTTCTAAACAAATATTAATTTTACATTTCTCAAGTTTTTCAGGTGAAATTATATATTGTGTTTTTTTTTTTTTTTTTTTGAGACTTTAGTAGATGGGGTTTCACCATGTTGGCCAGGATGGTCTTGATCTCTTGACCTCGTGATCCTCCCTCCTCAGCCTCCCAAAGTGCTGGGAATACAGGCATGAGCCACCATACCTGGCCAATACATTCATTTTTAAATGTGAAAAATAACATTTTAGCATTATTTACGTAAAAATATAGTAAACAGTAATAGATAAAAACTCACATAAAATTCTGTGGAGTCCTCAAAAATTTTTAAGTGTCAAGAGATTGTGAGACCAAATACTTGAGAACTGCTGATTTAAAAGAAAATATACATCCATGCAAGTGACTACTATGCAACTACTAAAAAGTTTGAAAACCAAAAGGTTAAACAAAAAAAGTTTAATTGTGCAGTGAAGTTTTCCTAAAACTGATATGGAACGCAGAAGCTACCGAGGAAAAGCAATATTTGCCTACATGAAAATTAAAGATCTCTTAAAAACAAAACAAAACAAAAACACCACATAATTCCACAGACAATGTTAGAAGAAAAATGATTTGGACAACTTGTTTCTGACTTAATATTCCTCCAGCTTCTCTTCCTTGGGTGAGCTAGGACGCTAATATAAAATGCTTGGAAATAAACTTGAAAAGTTTATCCGTAACTTCTTAGCTTGAAAGTAGGGGAAAAAAAGATAATCCGAAAGAAAAAAATATAAGAACTGAACAATCTGCCCTTAGATAAAAGCCACAAATCATCAATATAATATGAAAATATTTTAAAACTTCAATTTTAAAATGCAAATTGAAAATACTGAAATTGTTTTCCCAAATTAGACTGGGACTGATCTGACTGGTAACAACTTAAAAGACTGATCGCAGGCCGGGCGCGGTGGCTCAAGCCTGTAATCCCAGCACTTTGGGAGGCCGAGGCGGGTGGATCACGAGGTCAAGAGATCAAGACCAACCTGGTCAACATGGTGAAACCCCGTCTCTACTAAAAATACAGAAAATTAGCTGGGCATGGTGGCACATGCCTGTAATCCCAGCTACTCAGGAGGCCGAGGCAGGAGAATTGCCTGAACTCAGAAGGTGCAGGTTGCGGTGAGCCAAGATTGCGCCATTGCACTCCAGCCTGGGTAACGAGCGAAACTCCATCTCAAAAAAAAAAAAAAAAGACTGATCGCAGCAGTTGGCAAGGATATAGAAACCAGGAACTCTCAATCTATGAAGTCTAAGCCAATAAAACAGAATAATGTGGCAGTTTCTACGCAAAAGTTATTAAAAGGTAATCTCTGTTCTAGGAGATCTGAAATTCACACAAGTGCACAAGTATATAAGGATGTAAATTATAGCACTGTGTGTAAACAGAAAAATCTATACAGTCATTAATGTAAGCCTAATAAAATACACAGCTGTATATTAATATAATACAAGACAATGGTTTAAAACAGAGGTAGAATCTGCACATACAAACAAAAAAGTCAATTATATGGACATTTATATTAAAAAGTATAGATATATTCATTTAATACTTCTGGAAGAATATAAACCAAATTTAACACTGACTACTCTGGAAAGTGGAGAGAAGTAAAATGCAAGAAGTAAATAATGAGAAAACTGCCAAAATTTGAGCCATGAAACATGGTATTTTTCCAAAGGATATTTGCTATTTTACATTAAAAGTAGAATTTGTAGAGAAACTGAAGTCCCCAGAGACTTCATTTTAGGATTTAAACATTTTTTTTTAACTGATGAGGACACTTAAGAATCCCTTCCTAAATTTCATTCAAGCTGTGAGGGATATACGCCTTGTTTACTTCTCCAATAAACGTTTGACACCAAGAACTGGGCTCACAGACAGCTAGAAGATACCAAAGTTTGTTTTATATCACTGAAAGATAGAAAAAAAAAAGTAAGGGTATTGGTGCTACTATTAGGTTCAACTATATAAAACTGCCACTAACGAATTCTTCAACCTGGCACATGTGGTACATTGCTTTCCTGAGGATTTTATCCTTTATAGACTGACTTATAATGTCCCCACTAGCTGACAATCTCCACTGTCTAAAAAACTGATTTGTTCCTCACTGGAGGATATGCTGAACCAAAGGGTCTCCTATGAGAAAACTACAAACAGTATATTTGAACTATTTATTTCAGTAGCTCTTCCATGATGAATAAAGTAAACATTTTTTAAAAATTAAGATCATAAAATTTGTTTTTAATAAAAGAAACTATATAATAAATAGACTTGTGGACTCTTTTAAGTACACAATGAATGGTCTGCCCTGACAAAAAGTAAATAAAAACAAAAAAAGGCAAAGGAAAGGAATTGAAATACTTTAAAAACCTCAGAAGTTAATTCCAATTTACTTTCCTCTAGACTGTTACAATGTTTCCAAGCTGCCTTTTTCTTCCCGCTATCAGTACTCGGTGAACTCAAGTTAATTCTCATTATATAACCCAGAAAATAAGTAAAAACAAACCTACTGGAAAGGAGTGGGAAGAGTTGGGAAAAGCCATATAATTAACTAATACTCAATTTCCTACTACACTGTTAACTATGAAACTTAACTAATTTTAATCTTTCCCTTTTTCCTCTCCTTGCCTCTTTCTCAGTTACAAACCAATCAGCCTTCAAACTCCACATTCCCTGGCTCTCATTTCTCATTCTCAGTCTAACTTCAAGTCAACTTTTCTTATTCTATACATCTGTATATCTCCTATTCACTCCTCAAACTAATCTCTTTGTCCATGTTTTATGGAACTATTCTATGGAACTTATTATACTCTATTAAAAAAAACTTTTTCCTAAGTCAGTAGGGACTTTTTTTTAAGTGTTCAATCCAATGGATATTTTGACACCTTGCTTTATTTGGCCTTTTTAGGATGCTGTTAATCACCCTATCCTTAGCGCTAACAAACCACCTTCTTGGTTTCCATGCCCACCACTGTCCTTTTTTTTTTTTTTTTTTTTGAGACAGAGTTTCACTCTTATTGCCCAGGCTGGAGTGCAGTGGCATGATCTCAATTCACTGCAACCTCCACCTCCTGGGTTCAAGCAATTATCTCGTCTCAGCCCCCACAAGTGGCTGGGATTACAAGCACCCGGCACCATGCCCAGATAATTTTTGTATTTTTAGTAGAGAAGACATTTCACCATGTTAGCCAAGCTCGTCTCAAACTCCCGACCCTCAGGTGATTAGCCTGCCTTGGCCTCCCAAAGTGCTGGGATTACAGGTGTGAGCCACCATATCCAGCGACCACCACCGTCTTAAGTTTGCATGTCCATCCTTCATGGTATCCCAGGTCTTTGTTCTGAGTCAAGTTCACTTCTCCATAAAGGAACTTATTTAATAATGTGGCTTCCATTAAGACTAATATACTGAAGAATTTCAAACTAATCTCTCACCTAGTTTGTTTTGAGCTCAAGACTCACACATAAAACTGTCTGATAGTCATGGATCATCCAAGTGAAAAGAACAGAACCCTCAACCTTAGCAAATCTAAAACTAGCCTCATAATCTAACTTTCCCTTCAAACTTGCCCGATTCACCATTTACCTGTAGCCTAATTCAGAAAACCTAGGTGTCAGAAAGCTTACCTGTTCTGCAGAGGATGTTTAATATAGTGTTCTGGATTAGCGACCTCCTGATTAGATTCTGGTTTTTCCTCTTCTGTAGCCGGGGGATTAGGAGTAGGAGTGGTTTCCTAGTAGAAAATGTAAAACATTATTTTAAATTTCTTAACACACCTATGACAGCAATATTCTAATTAAACCTGAACTGACATGCTGACAATATTTTTTAAGAAGTAATTAGAGCAGATTGCTTCATAAAACAGACCATAGACCAGCCTCTAAAGAAACATTCTCTATTCTTTTATCTCTTCATTAAGAGCAAACGGTTTCTCAAACTGGAAAATATAATAGTATCTATGGTTATCCTTCCACTTGTACTTTTTTTTGTAATATCAGGAAGACTGTCACAGATTATGCAACAAAGTTAGGAAAATCTGTTATCTTTCTTAACATACCATCTCATTAATATACTGTATATGGTATTGAAGGGGGTATCAGGATGGATAGAGGATTAAAACTAAAGTTTCAAGAGTATAATAACTATATCACTGGGCACTGTGGTGCATGCCTATAATCCCAGCTACTTAGGAGACTGAAATAGGAGGATTGCTTGAGCCCAGAAGTTTGATACCAGCCTGAGCAACACAGCAAGACCCTGTCTCAAAAACAAACAAACAAAACAAAACTATATTATGATGACAAAATAAGCTTTGTAGAGTGATCAAGCCAATGATATGCTGGTCTTGTCTTCATGGCATACTGTTTACCCTATGTTAACCTAAAAGTTCGGCAACTTAACATTTTCAATGGACTCCAAGATGATGGACATTGGTCTGAACTTAAATCTTCTTTTAGGCTAGGCATAATTAACGTTGTCATCTAAAAATATCAGGAAGAAAAGGAGAATAGTAATTTAAAATAGGTGTTCACCACATTCTTCCATGTAGCTCTTCACACTACAATAAATTGTTGTCACCAGAACAAGACAGCCATAGAAAGACATTAGGACAAAGACTGATACAAAAAAAAGGTGGGGGAGGGGGGCAATGCAACAAGTGTCTGGATATCAGATTTACTGAAGCAGCAAACAAAAGTTAGAGATATATGTTAACATAACAAGATATGTAGTCAAATATTTATTATCCAAAAGACCTCAGAGTAGATAGGTAAATTCTCTTAAATTTACTCATAAGCTCAAAATCCTTACTATAAACCATACTTTTGCAACACTTATTTAAAACTTCTACCTCAGCAGCACATAGTGAATTACAATATGATTAATTACAAGTTTCATGGAGTCCAAAACATCATTTTAAAACTAATTTAGTTCTTTCTCTTTTCTATTATTCCATTATTTTCATTCTTGGGAAAATGATGGAATACTAACATGGTATCAAATCTTTGGACATACAGAAACTAAAAGTAAATAATCACTCAGGAAAAATATTCAGTTCCTAGAATTTTAAAAGTGTTATTTTGGCGGGGTGCGGTGGCTCAAGCCTGTAATCCCAGCACTTTGGGAGGCCGAGGCAGGCAGATCATGAGGTCAAGAGATTGAGACCATCCTGGTCAACATGGTGAAACCCCGTCTCTACTAAAAATACAAAAAATTAGCTGGGCATGGTGGCGCGTGCCTGTAATCCCAACTACTCAGGAGGCTGAGGCAGGAGAACTGCCTGAACCCAGGAGGCGGAGGTTGCGGTGAGCCGAGATCGCGCCATTGCATTCCAGCCTGGGTAACAAGAGTGAAACTCCATCTCAAAAAAAAGTGTTATTTTGAATTAAAAGTCCCACTTTAAGTAATTAATACTATAGTCTTCATATTAAGAACACATTATTTTGTACTCTTCCAACAACTTTAAAAAGCTACACATTTTTAAATGTGTGTATGTACAAATCCATAAGTATACTAATTTAAAATCTCTAATCTTCACTTATATAGATTATGAAACAAATGATCTGTAACACCATAAAAATTTTTAATGGCTACAGTCATCTTTTCATATCATCTATTTGGGAACTAAAAAATATTTCAAGAAACAAGTTCTATTTTAAGATGTATAACCTTATTTTAAGGTTGCTTCCTATAGACACTTAAAAAGTTTTAAGTTTACATTCAGTGTAATAACAAAACTCAGCTGGGGGAGGCGACTCACACCTGTAATCCCAGTACTTTCGGAGGTCCAGTACACTTGCTCATGCCTGTAATCCCAGCACTTTGGGAGGCCGAGGTGGGTGGGTGGCTTGAGGTTAGGAGATCAAGACCAGACTGGTGAACCTGCTGAAACCCCATCTCTACTAAAAATAAAAACATTAGCCAGGCATGGTGGCAGGCAACTGTAATCCCAGCTACTCAGGAGGCTGAGGCAGGAGAATCGCTTGAATCCAGGAGGCAAAGGTTGCAGTGAGCCAAGATCAAGCCATTGCACTTCAGCCTGGGGGACAAGAGCAAGACTTACATCTCAAAAATAAAATAAAATAAAAATACTGCAAAATCCTACCATATTCCCCTCTCTGCTCTCTCAGGCTGGTATTATCTCAATGAGAAAATTTCACTGGAAATTACATCCTAAATAACCAACCTCAGGTTCTACTGGGGAATTAAAAAAAAAAAAAAAAAAAAAAAAGGAAAAAAAATTACATGACCAATGTTTCTAGGTTTATAAACTACCTGGACCAAAAAGTAAAGGCTAATTTAGCAGATTATGGCTAACTCAAAGTAATCAAACACACTTTTAAACTAAAATAGACAATCTTCCCTTGAAAAGGCATTGTGTAACATACTTTAGGTGAGTAGAACAGGGTGTAAGAGTGAGGCCATGGATGGTGCTGTGTTCATCCAGATAGTAACCAGTGTGGCTGAAAGACAAAGTTTATGAAAGGGAAGAGCTAGAATGGTAAGTTGGAGTGAGATCATTAAAGGCCTCAGAGGTCAGGCTAAAAGTGTACCTTTCATCTTGGGAGGTCAAAGAGATTAAATCCAAATGGCAAGAGAACAAAAGATCACCAATTTAGGAGCAAAGTATTAAACCTGGTTTTAGATTTGCTAAGTTTATCAGCTTCAAATAAATATGTTCAGTATTAAAATTTAGCAAACCCAGGGCTGAATAAACTGTCATAGGAATAAAAGAAAGTTGAAAGGGAAGAAAAAAGACAAGCAAGGGCGAAAAAACTCTAACAATTAGCTGCCAAGAATGTCAGGTAGCTTTTTACTACATTCTGCAAAATTAGCACAGGTATATTATTAATCTTATGGGACAATCCTAATATTATAGAGGCAAGTATTTCCCAGGTCTAGCATCATTCTGTGGTGTTTTCAATAAATCTGACTAAATTTTAGATTCTCCTCACCATGTTCAAATCTACATTGCTTAAATTCCAAAACCGTGATGTGCTTTTCCACGGCTTTGAACATTTTAAGATTTCTTAGCAACTCTCAATCCAAATACACATTAAAAACCATCTATTTACTCACAGGAATTTCTAAAAAATTTTTTCCAGGTTAAATCACCCGACACCTTATTTGAAGTATGCAATAATCATTATTCCCCCTGGGCACTAATAATGGTTCGAACCAGTAACTCAAAGTATAGTCCACAAACTATCCACAGACTACTACACTGCTGGTCTACAAACTGGTCATGGTTGACAGTGAGGTTAAGTATAGACATGCAAAGTAAACACTTAGAAAATTTGTAGCAATTTGACAGTTTCATATCTGCTGAAACTAATCAAAATCAGGCTTATATTTTGTATGCATGTCTTCATGTTTATCATTTTACAAAAGTATTATATTAGAAATTTTTTTAAAGGGCCAGGCATGGTGGCTCATCCCTGTAATCCCAACACCTTGGGAGGCCAAAGCAGGAGGATCTCTTGAGCCCAGGAGGCCAAAACAGAAAAATCACTTGAGCCCAGAAGTTCAAAGGCTGCAGTGAGCTATGATAGCACCACTGCACTCCAGCCTGGGCAAACAGTAAGACAATGTCTCTAAAAAATTAAATTAAAATTAAAAAACAAACACAAACCAGTTTTTCACCATAATATGAGATGCACTAATTCAAATTACACCCTCTAGAACCATCATGTTGGAATCCCAGCTCTGCCATTCACAGTTGTAAAATTCAGAGCAAGTAACTTCTGCGGCCTCAATTTCCTCATCTTAAAATGGGCACTGTGACATTTATCTCCTAGGATCACTAGGGATTAAATGAATTAAAAAATAAATGCATTTAAACTGTCTGGTACATGGGAAATGCAAAATAATAATTGATTTTTTAAAAGTAGCTAAAAATTTTAAGTGTATGGTTACCTGGCTTTCCATTCATTCATTCACAGCAAACTGTATGGCCAGACACTATGCTGAGTTGTGTTATATGATTTTAGAAGGAAAATTTTTTAATTATATTTATCACTTTCTTCCTTCTTAAATTCTTTCTGATATATGTAGATATAGATATTCCTCCCAGAACAATAATGATTTATGACAATGTAAAGTCATTTTAAAGTAACATTCAAGTGAGGAAACCTACTTTTCCTACCTTTAAAGGTACTCCCAGATACCGTATTTCCCCTTTTCTGTACTGAAGGCGTATCTTTGGCCTCATTCCCCATACTCTTGGCCTCCGTGAATTAATGAATGGCTAGAATATACCATTGAGCTGAACTATTTATTACCAAGCAATAGCATAAAGGACATTGAAATCAAGTATGAAAATAAGGCACAAAAAAGGGGCTAGAGGAAGAAAGAAATTCTACATCAGCACATTTATTCACATACCATCCTTCGTGCTTCCAAATGCTGCTGCAACTGACAGTCTGTATAAACCAGGCTGGGGCTTCACTACTACAGTTTTTCTCTGATAATAGTAAGAGCAATCCCAGGTTTACTAATCTCTGATGCACTAGGAGGCAATACTACAAAATGGGTAAAAGCCAAAGCTCAACAACACAGCCTGGATCCACCTCTAATCCCTGTTTGATGAGTCCTTTAAATCTAAAGTGAGAGGAGAAAATTTTCAGAGAATAGGGATTGTTTAAGTGATCCTTAGGGTAAGTCCTTAAAAGCCCTGTAAGGAGCAGTTTCTTCACTTGTAAAAAGTGCTGTGTGGGTTTTCATCAACAATCCAAG